ACTTACTGTAAAAGAAAATGTCAATGTTTGTTGAAGAAGTTCAAACATGTCAATTGATCTCTTTTTAGTCCTTTTTCATGGCTTATCTCGCTGATATATCTACAAATCTATCTAGAAAGTCTAGAAAGTTTTAAAACGCCAATTCATCTAAGCTAGAAGGTACTAAACCATAAGATTTTTGAAAGTTTTATTTTTAAAGTTTGAAAAACATTTTGCAAAAATACCGGCTAGGCATCTTGCTGAGTCAATTGTACTTTGAACTCTATCGCGCAAATTTAAAAAGCATGCCAAAATCCTTTTTTCACAACTTATTTTCCCGCCTTGATCTAAGATATTCATCTTTGGTGAGTAATATAAGCTTAATGATAAATAAAAAAATCCGAACATAACATTTCGTGCCCACTACGAGAACGAACGGCGATCAGATGTACAAGGCGATAAAAGTACGCCAAGAATGACATGTAATTTTATTACACTTTATATATATATCATTTACAATAATTTCTAAATGGTGGTTCGTTTGAAATATTGCAAAAAATATTTTGTAATGCTATGCAAAGTCTTTTTCGCTTTCTTTTTGTCTTCAACATGATCAAACGTCTCACGAATATTCACATCTTCACTTCTACTTACTGTAATTAGACCTAGTGCATGGCGATAGACTACTTCATGTTTTTTCTTTTTGTAGTTTTAGCATCTTGTAGACGCTGAACTCAGGCATTTTAGTTTAAAAATTTCCATCAACTTTACACTTGAATTGTTTCTTCTATTTTTCTGTGTCAAAAGGTCACAACAAATGAGCAACCAATGAAAAGTGAGAAAAATCTTAGCCAATCAAAATCCATATTTGACCGGCCGATGCCAGGGCTATCTCTGGGCGCAGAGTAGCCCTGGGAACGAGGTTGAACTATAACACAGGAATCCCATATCGCATTACTTTTGTGGGTTTCCTGTGGTGAAATTCTTCTAGGAATCTCGTTACCTGGAAAAAACGTGTGTTCATAGTCCCTTCCTGTTTCGTGTCGGAGAAATACAGACATATTTTCTACAATGTCAGCAGGAAAAGTAAAGGTAAAGTAATTATCGGTGCAGCTACTTGAAAAAAATTTGTTACCTTTTGATTTTGGGAGACTAGTAAAATATTATCACCCTTAGACATTGAAGCAAGTGCAACGGGCCACATCTTCACGTGCGCCTATAGTTTTATGTATCTAAGTATTAATTCCTTGAACTTAATTAGCCTGGCTTTGCTAAGGTATTGTTCACAAGGATCCACAAGAACTGAACTCTTTGTTGTCTGCTAAATATAGCGCTATTTTTATCCATTTTAAGCTTATATAAAATGCAAAGCAAATACGTTTTCATATATGTTAAGTTAATATCTGTGGAGGTAAAACGAGCTAGTGACACGTCTCCAAACATGTCATTGAATCGATGTTATATTGTAGATTGGTATAATCGGAGGAACTGGTATCGATAATCCTGATATATTCGAAGATAGACAAGAGAAGAAAGTTGAGACTCCATTTGGGGATGTGAGTATAATTGTCGCACGTGGATTTTAGTCTTTTTGCGAGGGGCGGATACTTCCGGGTCTACTGACAGAAGTGAAAGCATTTCTGAACACAACACTTCGTCTTGCAAACTCGTTCAAGTTTGGAGTCTTGCAAACTGAATTGTTATAAACTTGACTTTCGAAGCCAGCATCATCCCCAATTATGACAAGAACATTTCTACGCTCAGCAAGAGACTCAAACTTTCCTTTGCAATTAAATAAGGCAATAAAAATTACTCCCAATCTTAGTAACAAGTTAGCCATTTTCTCGTCTGAACTGTAACACAGGAATCCCATATTGGATTATTTTGTGGGGTTCCTGTGGTGAAACTCTTACCTGGAAAAAACGTGTTCATAGTCCCTTTCTATTTCGTGTCGGAGAAGAGACATATTTTCTACAATGTCAGCAAGAAAAGTAAAGGTAAAGTAATCATCGGTGCAGCTTTTGAACTAACTTGAAAAAAATCTGTTACCTTTTGATTTTGGGGAGACTAGCCTAGTAAAATATTATCACCCTTGGACGTTGAAGCAAGTGCAACGAGCCACATCTTCAGACTTCACTTGCGCAAATAGTTTTATGTATCTAAGTATTAATTTCTTGAACTTAATTAGGCTGGCTTTGCTAAGGTGTTGTTCACAAGAACTGAACTCTTTGTTGTCTGCTAAATATAGCGCTATTTTTATCCATTAAACTTATATAAAATGCAAAGCAAACTTTTTCATATATGTTAACTTAATAGCTGTGGAGGTAAAACGAGCTAGTGACACGTCTCCAAACATGTCATTGAATCGATGTTATATTGTAGATTGGTATAATCG